TTATTCTTAGAGAGGTTAACCATCTGGTGAGATCCATCCACACACCCTCCTGAGTATAACAGTTTTATGACCCACCACTACATGGTGGACAACCTTTTCCTTTTTCTTGCTCTATAACCTATGTCATTTGGCAGACTACATGCTGGACAGATTTCATGTGCCTTTCCACAGTGCATAGCATGCGTGTCTGGATAATGTAGTCTCGGAAAATTGTTCAACTTCAGTTTAGTAAAGAGTGGGGTCTAATAACCCTGGCAGGATTCCTATTTGAAAGTGGCTACTTTTCTTATTGTCAGGCACTTGGAGCTGTGAATTCTATGATAAAGATGTCCAGAGTCTCAAAGGAAACAGAAGTGAAGACCATGCAGGGAAACTGTTCGACATATGTGACAATGTTACGTCTTGGGGCAGATAGAGCTGTCTTCACTTCTGACTTGTTCTGAAAAACACACCAATCCTTTTATTTTTGTTTTTTTTCCTTGTAAGTTTTTAATTTCTTACTGACATGACTGATGATGTTGTGGGATGCCTAATCCCTTCACTACTAGACCAGTAAAATGTTCAGAGCCACAGCTAGCACATTTCTATTTAATGGCTCTTATTAGGCCCAGAAATCTGTCCACAATTCCATGTGCACCTTCCTTAGATATAAGAGAATCAAGCTGATCAGCAACACAGAAGTCTGTGATACCAAAAACAGATACCAAAGCTTGCTTTCATCGTAAAAATATATTATCCTATTCTTATAGATAGCAACAAATTACCTTCTTTCTTTTTATCACATGTACGGAGCTGTCCTCTCTAATATTTTTTAATTATATTAACAGTTGCTGCATATTGTCATATCATCTTGGTACTTTGTTTATTTTATTAGCCTAAATGTATTATTTCTAGTATGCATTAGTACTTAATTTGCCCAGAAACGCTTTTGAATATCTAACTAGAGACAAAGTTCAGGAAGAGCGATGATGTGTGAATTTACAGTCAGCTGCTTTGAGAGGAAACAGAGGAATAGCATTAAAAGACAGGTTTTTTTCTTATGAAAGAAACTAAGATGCATCAGTCCTATAAAAATATCTTTGACCAAGCTAGCTCAAAATATGAAATTACAGGACTACTTGTGAAGGATTTGTCTGAAAAAAAATTCAATTAAATGTTATTTTAAGATTTACCTGTAATTCCCCTGCCTAGGAAGTAACAATATATAAATGTGTAGCAGTTTATTGTTTTAATGTCATGAGAAACATACCTAAAAGTATGACACAGCACGAATGTGTAGTTGTACAGACTGTAACCACAGAGATTCAAAACAAAACTGGAAGCATTATAACGCAAGTGGGTAAGAAGGAAAAGGACATACTGTAAAAGCCGTAAAAAAAATTATCTGCAAAAGATCATTGAAAAATACCTATGTAATCATACAAATCCTTGGGAGACTGTTAAAATTTGGTACTGGAAACACACAAAGATGAATGATCATTAAAAAATTCAGCACAACATCCTTAGCTGCCCTTTCCTGTGCTCAGGAAAGGGTAGCCCTGAACCATCTTTTCTTTCTCTGGTCACTGGACTGCAATGGGAAGATCTGAGTGCCGAGCTCGGCCACACCAGGTACACCTGCTCTGTAAGGATTGCTTCTCCAAGGAGTGGCTGGGGAGGGCTGTGTTTTCAACCCTGGCTAAACACATCTCTGCAGTGTAGGAAAGAGCATCGGACAGAGGATTTCTGTCAAGCAGCAAGATCTCTTGCTCCAGTCATACAGTGGCCTGGGTATTGAAAGAAGCAGTACAACAGATGGCAGGATGAATCGATTCTTTGTCAAGGTAAGAGCTTTGATTTGAGGAAGTATCTGTGAAAGTCTTTCAGTGAGACTCTTCAACTACCTAGAAATAAGGAACTTTGTTATCCAGAAACCTCAAGCCTAACTTCTGCAGAACCCCAAGGATTTACGAAGAATCACCACCACTTACACAGCTTCAGTACCCTGCATTAGCTCTGGTCCTGATGAATGACTTTTAGTCACAATTACACAGAGAAAGTGATCTTCTCTATACAGACTTTTCTCAGTGCTAACCTCTCTTCAAAATCCTTTGTTTCCTAGCCTGTGTGCAGAATCCACAATGTATGGGCAGCTGTGTATAAAAGACTAACTAACCATGCTTTCTGTGGAAGGGGAAGGTGACGACAGAGGAACACACATTTCATGTTCAAATGTTGTGATATAGGCAGTCTGAGCTAGAGAAAGGAAAGAGTGAAACACATAGCTCTGAATGAAATCCCCAGCTCATATTGCTGGTTAAAAAGCTAAGTGGAAAGAGAGACATAAGGAATAAATGCAGGAGAAAAAAATCAACAAATGAAAAACTTTATACCAGGCAACAAATTAGATGAACTCCAAAGAGAGACACTCGGAGCTAGGTTCATGTCAATTTGGGAAGCATAAAGGAATTCACCACGTCTTGTCTAGAAGGTCATTGTTACTCTTCATAAGAACATAGAGGCTGAGAACCATGGTCACTACATGCCTGGTACACATTTGGAGTTAAAAAGAGATCATTTTGCCCAGTGTATCTTTTAAGTTCATTCTTGACAAAAACTCGTATAGCAAACCCAAAGAAGAACAGGCATGTTCTTCTTAAAATATTGATGTATTTTATCTGTGGAAAAACCTTGAGAAAATTCATACATAGTTTGGCCAAGTGGTTATCAGGAAAACACAATTATGTGAAAGTTTGAATGATATAATCTAGAAAAAAAGGGAGAGGAACATATGGACATATTGTCTGAGATGGCTATATTACATATAAGAAGAGTCAAACAAAAGAGAATGTAAATCCTAATACCAGAGGAAGTAATTGCAATCACAACAACAAAAACAAAAAAGGTAAAAGTCACATTTCTCAAGTAATTTCAACTCCACCACATAAATCGCTTTATAAAGCCTTGAAGTGGAGAAGCCAAAGCCTGGCAAGGAGATACATTACTTCACCTTGTTGATCTTTTACATTTTTCTATGTCTAGCACTCAATCTTACAGCAACCAACAGTCAACTACAAATGGGAAAACAAGAGCCAGTGTCACCTGAGAACCATCTGTTATGTGTACCACAAAACCATCTCATATAATCTGTGTTAGGTGTAACATTCTCATTTTTCTGCTATGCATGTACTGATCATTCTTTCTTTCATATCTTTATCTTGGCTCTTTCTAATCTTCTTCTTGTGATTGTCTTAGTTAGAGCAGCTGGCACCAGTTCATCACTGTGTAGGTGTAACCCAAACTGCGTATTCTACACCCTCTGTGTCATTTCCCAGGAACTGTTACCACTAGACCATTTGCAGCAGCTGCCCAGAGCACACCTGACCCCTCAGGCTATAAGCTGGGTGTTAAGAAGCCTGTAAGATAGGAGGATGTTCCTATCCTCATATCAATGACTCAGGTGTTATTACTCCCCTCTGGGGAGTCATTAGCACCTCCACACCCAGCCTGAGGGGTCATGTCTGCTAATGGGCCACCAAGGATTCAAAAAATATCTCACGACTCACAGTCACCCACTGTGGAACTCTCTGCCCTGGGGGAGGTACTGGGCATTCCCACTCAAACCTCAGTGTATATAATCTTGGAGTCTTGGGACTTCTGGCCCCACTCATCAGATCCAGAGGAGGACCAGAACCTCAACTGGACTGCAATCACCACCCTCGACCAGACTGCAACCAGCACTCTCACCAACAGGTTTTCCTCCTCTTTTACTTTGGACTTAGGAGGACCACATGGGGCTCAGCCCAGAGGCCAACGAACACCACTCTGTTTGTGCCCCAGAGTGCTGGGTTATACGTCTGGGTTTTGTGGGATAAAACCAATTATTTGTCCGTATAATTGTATGTATTGCATTATTGTTATTAAATTGTAACTCTGACTTATAATCTCTTTTGAATTGGGTTCATTTCTCCTGCCGGTTTACCTTTAAACGAGCACAGTGATCTTCTTTCTTTTAAATAGAAACTGAATTAAAAGGGTCTATTGTTCAGCTTAAGAACTATAACTTTTGGTTTTAGGATAAGAAAATATGCCAAAAAGCAAGGCATTGCCCACTTAGAGTTTGAAAACACGCATATTTTAAAGGATATTTAAATAAAAAAAAACAATCTTTCATGAGCCATGGTATAACTTCCAGGAGTCCAAGTTACCCTTATCTCACATTTTGTGAGATTCTCCCTGGGCTATTTCATGCCTTTTCTAGACCTGGATTGTCTCTCTATTCTTGCTCTATTTGCAGTGTTGTAATTGTCTCCATTCGTCACCTTTTAGCACCTGGTTTCCATTTCATCGTTTCAAATTACTTCCACTTAGAACCAGCGTGGAAGGAATCCCATCACTAGTTAAGACAAATGTCTTCCCCATTCTTCTTTCTGGATAGTGCCCGACCAATTGTCATAACCACTGAAATAACTGACTCATCTTTCAGACCACAGAATGCGATCTCAGAACAAAAAGATCTTCACTTCTGTTTACTTCTTTCTTTTGCCTCTACTGTTACTATACTTTCCCATAGTGCTTCTATTCAGCAGGAAGAAAAAAAAGTGTCCATAACAATATCCTTCTTTGGAATTCCTGTACTTCCTTCATATGGCCAATTTATAAGAAAATTGAAAGTGCAGTCAAAAAGACCTGCCTTCAGATTTCATACATGGCCTATTATTTCTATCTTGCAGCAGCTCTGCATATTTTTTTTAGTCTGTCATATAAAATAAGTTGTAATAAATAGCTCCCACTGTGACTGCTGGTGTTAGCACGTTGAAGGGAGTAGCGCGTGTACCACAGTGTTAACCACAGTGAGTACTGTGGTTGATAATGGCAGTGCTTGGAAAGATGAATCACCAGCAGTGAAAGCAGTTCAAGAAAAAGAAACACATACACACACACACAAAATCCCAACCCAAAGCAAAACCAAAAGGAACTCACTCCACCAGAAAGAACATCCAGGGAAAGAGAGAGGAGTGTAACTGGGAATGTATGCTTTGTAACATACTTTAATTTGAATACATTGCTCACAGTATGGACTTGCCCTTATGAACCATGATCTGAAAATACTTTATTAAATAATGTGATACTTGGATTTTTCAATGAAAATTCATGGTTTTGTTAATTTTTCTCACTGCTTCAAATGATGGTTTACACCTTCCTGTAAAATAGGTTTTCACACATCAGAAGCTCTTATGAAGCTTTGCGGGGTTCTGCATTTCACATTCTCTTAACCCTTGCCCCACTAGAATAAATGATTGCCTGGGTAAGGATTATCTTTATTTGTGCTTTCCTACTATCTACTGTTCTGGACACCCAAACTCTGTGGGTACCTTCATGTGAATGCTTCACACAAATCATGTCCATCACCCCACACTGACAGCAAACGCAAGAAACACACCACCATAATGCACAGGACAGAACAAAACAGAACAGTGCTTCAGGACAGGAATGATTCCCTTGAACTACTTCTCACCCTATGTGAAGAAAAAGAGGGTGAATTTTAAGTCTTTTCTTCTTGCTAAGGAGAGATTGAGATACTCAAGCTAGCTGCTACACCATCAAGTATTGCATAGGAAGATAGAGGGAGACTTTGCCAATGGGCTGGCTAGCTCACTGCATTTTAAGAGCTTTATGAATTGTTAAAAAGCTCTTCCCCTCAGAATGACTCCAGGTGAACAGCACACAGTGCTGGCAGCAGCATTTGACCCTCTTATTTTGGTATTCTACTTCAATACAAGATGGGCCTGGGAAAGAAGGAACAAGCACAATGGCTTTTGAGGAAGAAGTCACCTTCTTTTTAACTTCGTAAGGGTCAAGGCTCAAAAAACCAGAGGGTCAGTCCACAACCATTCTCTCAATCAGCCAGCCAGCTGGAAAATACTACTGTTCTTCAGAAGGAAAGGGCTCAGTTACTACAGTGGTCCTTTTGCTACTTCCTTAATTTTCACATCTTCTATGAAGAATAAGTTATGGACTATATTAACTAGAGACAAGTTTACTTTTTCCTAAGCCCCAGTATAATGATCCAACTGATATCTGTCAATCAGCTTCTGCCTCAATAGCAGAGAGCAACTCCAATCCTTGCATTAACTTGGAAAATGGTAGATAGGAAGAGATAGAAATCAAAATAAACACTACAGCCTGATGTTTAAAGCTGTTATCTTAAGAACACCCAATGTAAGAACACCTGGAGTACCTTAAATTTCACAAGGATGCAAGGGCGTTCTGAGAGGGGAAAATATGTTCACATTTTAAACACTGTGCATGTCTGAGTTAAACAAATCAGAACTACCTACAAATGAACAATACGGTTTTCCCCTCGGTAGACTATACCACTGTTTCCCTAAATATTAAGAGTCATAGTGTGTTCACTATCAGCCAGGCACCTACCCTGTCACTGTACATTCACATTAAAAAACCTTCTTTCCAGTGCGCGTTACTCATAAACGTGTGAATCAGACTGACTCTGCCCCTTTATGTTCTAAGGTGAATTAGGAAAGGGTCTGTTATAGGACGATACAGGCCATTCTTTTGTGATGGTCTGCAGTTTTCTCTCCCAATACATTTTCTTTTTATTTAGCACTTCCATTTTTATCCTGTGTTCTTCTTCGGCCATCTCACACTCTCTTTCTATTTGCTGTATTTTTGCCACATGAACTTCATTCATTTGGATTAACTGCAGTTGCAAAATTGACATTTGCTGATGATGTTCTTCCTCATGCATTTTTTTCAGAGCACTTTCCTGAGATGCTTTACTTCTGTAGTTCTTATCTGCTGCTATTCTGACATCAGAGCACGAAGGCTCAGGTTGGGAGGTACCTTCACATACTGGAAAATGTACCAGCTCTTTGTCTTCATCACAAAGTTCTCTGTTTGAGACAACAAATGATTCTACAAAACAAAAGAAGAAAAAGTATTATAGTATTCCCTTCCCTCAAGAAACACAAATGTGATAAGTTATTGATACATGCATCTAAACCTTGCACTTCTGTACCAAAGTACAGGAGCCAATACCTAATGCAGTTCTGTTACAGAATACTAAAAGTATAATGGTCTGAACCAAACTACTCCTGGCTCTGTTGTTACCCTTTCATGGCTATAATAGGAGCTCAGAATACTAAAGTGAATACAGACATTTATAAGTGGATACCTAAATTTAGGTGGCTGAGTCCGGAGCTAAACCTTAATGCAGCTGTTTAAGCTAAATCCATATGTGACTTGCAATACTTTTATGAAAGATCTCAGTGTCAGGTGAAGAGCTGTAGCAACATGAATATCAAGAGAGTGAGGGAATACTAGGAAGAATACCTCTTATTCCTTTCATATCACTACTGCAGGTGTTGTAAACACAGTAGTGTACATTTTTAGGAAAAAAAATACATTATTCTAACTTTGAGAAGGCTCTACCAATTCTTCTGAAATAAAAGAGACTACTCATGGAACAGAACAGTTACCACTGCAAATGAGGGTCTCAAAATACATTCCTTTACAAATCCTGATGACTAATTATGGTAAGTACAATTATGAAAGAGACATTCTAAGAATGTTATCTAACAACGTAGCTACTGATGTCTTTTGAGCAAGGACAGTCTCCTATGTGAGATCCTGACACAATAAAACTTGCAAGAAACCGTTGTAGCCATCCTCCCTTCTGTTTTTGCATTATTCCTTATGTGTATGCTTTCCAAACAAAGAAGAATGTAGTGCTGAACTTTCTCAGAAAGGCCATTTCCAATGTGGACTGTAATGTGAAATATGGCTCTACATACTCTCTGTAGTCCTTGAAAACAAAGGAAGAAAGACCTACAGGGAACTCTTGCAGCAGACAATTTTGTATCAATTTTCTGCTGGTGGATTTGTTTGTTTGTTTCTTTTAACCAGTAAAATTATACTTCATAAAGAATACGAATATCCTTGGGACTCTTCTCTGGAAAGCCAGCATGATAGCTACTGTGAAGCTTGCCACAAAGCAGCAGATATGTCAGAAACTGATGAAAAAAATTTGTGAAAACCCTCAGTTTAACTCCCGGAGGCCTAGGGTACTACACAAAGTCTTGTAATATCATAGCTGTGAAATTACTTTTCTATAACCAGCAGTCCCAGCTAGGTAGAGAGATTTAGACTGCTGAAAGAGAATCACTGGCAAAATCACATACAAAACAATACTACTTGCATCATTACAGTAACATTTATACCTTGACTAGAAGCATCAGGTTGATATTCAGAATCTTCTTCTGGTGGGCTCTGCAAAAAGTACATTTGCTCAGGCATTATGCTGGCAATCTTCTCTTTCCCTACGATGTGAGTATTTATAAGTGGACTAATACTTCTTTTTACCTTCTCCCGCCTTTCATGTGCCATTATCTTTTTTGTCCGTGCCTTGATATTTTCCCAGCATTTCTTTAACTGTTTGAAGTCTCGCAGTGATACGCTGGGCTGTGAATTATATTCATGAGCTAGCGCTTGCCAGGTACGTTGTTTCAGAGCAATAGTTCTCGCATCACTTTTTTTACATTCAAGCACATATTTGTATTTTTCAACTAACGCAAGCAGCACACTCTTCTCCACTTCCGAGAAGTATTTAGCAGGCTTTATTATTTCGTTTTGCATTTTCTACTGTTTCTCCAAGAAGCCAAAATTCCTATGAAAACAATGTTGAAAGGAAAAAGAAAAACAAAAAACAAACACAAATTAGAACTAGTTACAGTATCAGGAAACCACGTTTCAGCAAATAAACTCTCAGCATAGCCTCTGGTTCATTTTAATAGAATAGTTTGAGTAGTTCTAGAGTACATAATGGAACATTCGGGTAATATATAGTATAGTTTCATGCTGTTTTGTGTTGCCACTTTAGTGGGTACGCAGTTCCAGAAGTAGACCACGGGAGGTCTTTGTTACAATTTGTCTTGATACAAAATACTTGCTATTCAATTTACTTAGTGACTTGTTTTCAATATCTTATTTCCCTGTTTATTGCACTTTTTTACATCCAAAGAATTTTCAAAGCCCCGAACTGTGCAACAAGTTCTGAAATACAGCCCTTGGTAACTTTGGGTTTAAGTCTAAAGACACCTTCATGAGGTTTGGTTTTTCTTTGGTACACAAAAGAGCCTCTTCTGCCCTTGTTGACTGTATATTTCTAATTACCCCCCCTCTCTACAGTATTTGAAAGTTGTATGAGAAATGATACTAAGAAGTTTTCTTTTTAAAGACCTGTCAGCTTGGTTCTCCCCTGAGCTCTGCCCTCCTTGTCTGACACCCAACAAGGCAACAGGACCCTGACCTTATTACAATAATGAGGAGTGGCAAGGCTTGCAAGAAGACACAAAGGAATTATGGAGACTAAGTGCTTGGAAGGTACAGGTCCTTCACCCTTTACTGCTGAAGCCTGCCCATGTGGCACTTCTTTTTGCCTGCCCTGCTCATCACTTTTGAGGCTAAAAAGAGCTGGCTTCTCTCAGTACAGATACTGCTACACATTTACATCACATCAACAACTGCCTCTCTTCTCAAGCCTAGGACCTACATGGTCAATAGGAAAAGGGTAGCTGATACCAGGGAATTCTGACATCAAAAAAAAGGAAGAAAACAGTGTTGCCTTGAATTATCAACACGTGACTATGCTGCAAAATGTATTTTTTTCTTTTATCTTTTCACACTCTTCCTTCTATTTTTTTCACTATAACTGTGTAGCCCAAATTACTTTTATATTTTGGGCAGAAACTTCTGGACAATTAAGTAGGAAAAGGACAGCAATGCTGCCTTAGTTCACATTTCCTCTGATTTTAATCATAAAACTCAAAGATAGAACATATATAAGATAATTGGTTCATATTCCTAACAGTCTAGGACTCTCCTAAAATGAATTTTCTGCTATTTTGCCCATTGTTTCACTGCTTGACCCTTAGATGAGCTCAGTTGGTTAGAGAATGCTGCTAATAATATCAAGGTCATGGTTTTGATCCATGTACAGGCCATTCACTCAATATTTGGACCCGGTGATCCTTGTGGGTCCCTTTCAACTCAGAGTGTTCTGTGATTCTGTGATACTTCTCTCATAACATTACTTGACGATCACCATAATGTTTCCTCTTTTCAAAGTATTTTTCCTTAACTCCACTGCACTAGGACTTTCTTTGTGCCATTCTTGTAATCCCTTTCCTCCAAACATCTCAATATTTATAGTTATTCTCACCTCATTCAGTAAAGGTAACTACTTATATTTATAAAGAAACCTAACAGACAAGCTAATGTCAAAATGAGAACATGAGTGACTTTAAAACAGCAGCTTTCTCAAGTAGCCCATAAAATATGACAAAACCCAGCTGTCCTGGTTTCATCTGGGACAGTGTTCATTTTCTTCTTAGTCACTGGTACAGTGCTGTGTTTTGAATTTAGTATGTGAATAATGCTGATAACACATTGATGCTTCAGTTGATGCTCAGTGGTGCTCGCTCTAAGTCAAGGACTTTTCAGTGTCCCATGCTCTGCCAGCGAGCAGGAGCACAAGAGGCTGTGAAGAAGCACAGCTAGGACAGCTGACCTGAACTGGTCAAAGGGATAACTCCACACCATAAAATGTCATGTTCGGTGTATAAATGAGGAGGGAGTTGGCTGGGATCTGCCCATTGCTGCTCTGGGACAGGCTGGGCATCAGTCACCAGGTGGTGGGCAGCTGTATTGTGCCTCACTTGTTTCTCCTGAGTTTTGTTCCTCTCTCTCTCTCCTTTTCATTACAAGTATTACTATATTTTACATTGTTTCAATCATTAAACTGTTCTTATCTCAACCCACAAGTTTTACTTTTTATTCTAATTCTCCACCTCACCCCACTCGGGAGCAAGGAGTGAGCAAGCAGCTGCGTGGTACTTTGCTGCTCGTTGAGGTTAAACCATGACACCAGCAAAACAAAGAGGAGTCAAAGAATAGAGGAGGCAGTAGAACAAAGCCTGGAGTAGCAAAACTGAAACAAAGTGAATTGAAACAAGTAACAGCCTAAGTTAAGTCAGTATTTAAGTTGTAGCCCTACTGAAAAAGGCAACAAACACTTGGTTTGTACTTTCTGTCACTGCTCTATTGGGTAATTGTGGGCATGTACTGACTGGGCAGGTAGCACCTATATAGTTGCTGGCTAGTCACAGTTCTGCTCTTACCAAATGCTGGTGTCATGGGGACATGGGAGAGCTGGAGTTTTTGCAGTAGACAGGATTTAGGGGACAAAGGGAAAGCTCCGTAGGAAACCAGACTTTAATAGCGCTACTGCTCACAGAACACAGCTTGTTTATTTTACATGAAAGAAAAAGGTGCAAGAAAGAAGAGAGCTGGGTGGATGAACCTAAGGAAGACAGTTTCCTGATTCAGTATTTCCTCCATCATGCTATATCAAGTTATTTTTTTTACAGTCTGTGACAACTTAAGTCACCCCATGTGTTGGTGACAGGAGTTCGTAAAAAGCTATAATCTCACAGAAAAAACTAAGCATAAGCAAAGAAACTTCTTTTATCACATACATACATCGCATAGATATTATAATGCCTAGGTCTACTAGAAGAGAACAGCTACTTCAGAAGTTCCTTAAATAAAACATAATTAAGAAAAGAGAAAAAGAAAGGAAGTTGACATCCTAACAAAGATACTGAAAACTGGCAACTTTGCTCCATGAAACAACTCTGAAAACATATAAAATAAAATAGACTATAATGGGATAGATTCTACCTACTGATCTATTTTACTTACATAGCTATTGTACCATTCCAAACCATTAAGATGCTTTGGACAGCTGCTGAAACAAAATTCTTGGGACTAAATATTAGGGCTCTCTCTTAGCCTCAATTCTACCAAAGAACAGGATGAAATGCAGTCCCACCAGCAACTTGTAAGATCCAATAGCCTATGACCCTTGAAAAACCCAAATCAGAGACTCCATGTGACCAGAAATGGCTGATTCTACCTTCTGCTGATGCATGTAAATCTTATTTCTAGCTTTGAAAAGGTGTGAGAATCTCAGACAAAAAAATCATTACGTGTTTGTGAGTAGAAAATTCCTTTAATTAGAGACACTGGATACTTTGGAAACTAAGTTCAAAAAGTTAAACAACGTTACTAGGACTTCTGGATTCCAGGTGCTAAGTATCTAGCTACATAGGTTGGCAGACACAGCTGATGTCAGTAAATATCTAAAACATTTCCAAATATGACTTCATATATATTAACAAATTATGTACTAGAATAAAAGCTCATTTTTCATGGATGGAGTCACAGCAAACTTAAGTATCACTTTCATACCACGCAATCATTTATTTCTATTATTTTTACTGTGGTAGCACCTGAGATCCCCGGTCATAAGTTGAAAACATAGGTCCTACACCGAGAAGAATATATTAGTCTTCTCTTCCCCTAAGCACATTCCTAATATTTTTTTCCTACACATACACACTGTAACTGTGTCCTTTCTGTGAAGAAGCCAGGATTATCATCTAGGATTCATAAAGGAATCCAAGAATTGGTGTGAGCAGTTTTATGCACTTACTACACAGAAGAGTTCTTGAAGATTCTTCTCAAGCTCTTACATGCTTAGCCTGCTTGCTTCAGTATTACAGCCCACTTGCAATTAGGTGAACAGAAAGTACTCTGAGATGTCAGAGAACTTAGTATGCTGGGAAGTTGCAGCAAAACACCACCATGTATTTATATTCACCTCTTTTTCTTTATGCATATTAATCACCTTCTGGCAGCTCACTGACTCTTCTGCAGAATACGAGAAAGGACTCTCACAAGCCCACAGAATTTCCATTTCAAGGCTAAGAGAGCCTTCCAGGACATATGCCCGGGATATAATTTAGTAGGTAGGAATCTGTGTTGAAATGAAAGTAGTTTACGGTGTAGAACTCATCCAGTAAACAGGATTGATTTATGTGGGTGCCTGAGGACAGCTGCAGAGTAAATTCTAAGAAACAAAGAATGGAAAGCTTCTCCCACTCTTACAGGTGCCTAGCCTCCAAGACACTTGCAGTAAGGAAGCACTTTATCCTATTTATCTTCCCCTGGCATGACTCAATTCACAACTTGCCTTAAAAGAAATCAGTGTTCTAAGTGCTTGTCCTCTCACACAAACCTTTATAGCTTTAAGATAACAGAAATATCTCTCAGCTCCTCATCTTTACTTTGAAAGCACTTCGTGCTGCTTTCTTTTAAAGACTATAAGGTGTGTGCTGTGATCTGCTGGAAGAATATCTTGAAAAAAAATTACACAAGTTAAGAAGTGCACACATGTTCATAAGTATGTTATATATATGTATTATTTTGCTTGCACACACCTAAACAGACACCCAAACTCCAATCAGTTGCAAAGAAGCCCTTCAGGTTGGCATGTATGAGCAGCATCTTCGGTCCATCAAATATTTCTTTTAGGCATAAGAAAATGCAGAGAGAATGTTATGGTGGAAGACTTAAACGAAATGTTAAGGTTACACTAACCAAACCCAAAGAAAATAGCAAACTGTGGTCACAGTGTGAGAATTAATTATATGTACCAATGCCAACAGAATTACTACCAGAAATAGTCAAGAACTGAAAAAAAAGAAAATTTATGTATCCAACTTAAATTGCAGGCAAAGCTTCAAGCATAGTCAGTAACTAACAGCATTGGAAATCTATTATAATTCTGTCCTTTTCATCCAGTGTTTGAGGATGAAAGAAAGGCACTGGAATGAGCCACACAAGTCACAACAGGTTTATATTTCATTTGAATAACAGAACCAGAAGTAAATAGTGTTCTTCTTCAAATGTTAGGTTTTCCTCACTGAGCTTCCATTAATGTTCCAGGCCTGACCCTGTCTACCTTGAGACTTGAAATCACTAGTTAATTAGGTGTATATTCCAAATATGAATCACTTCTATATGGAAATTGTGTTTTAATCAGATTAAAAAAATCCCACCTCTTTGGGTGCTTCCCCCCCACACAACCTTTTAATACAAACGAGGAGTTATCACGGATCATCCAGCAAATGAGCAAAACAATCTATTAGTAAAAATTCACAGTACTTTGCCTAAATTTCTCCTGTCGAATTTTACATACCAATACACGGAAATGTATTTTAAAAAAATATAGGATATTAGACTATATATACACAAAGATACATTTCAAGCGGGTCATCCCGCTACCTATGGAGGACATCCAAAGCACTCTGTGCACGCAAGGTAATGGATGCAGCTTGTTATTCCGAGCGACTGCCTGAAATCCATCAAAAATAGGCATAATACAGGAATCCTACCAGACTCTCCCGCACCCGAACTTCTCAAACATTAACTCGAGCCTTGTGTGTTTTTGGGGTTTCTCTAATCTCCACGCTAGCTCCTCTTCTGCTCGAAGGAGAAAGGAGAGCAGGTCCCGGCTCCACAAAGGCGGCCGCTCCACCCTGGGCGGGCGCGGAGGCTGCGGCGGGATCCGGGCGCATCCGCGGCGGGGGCGGCGGGCGCTGCTGTCACCCCGCGCCCGCGGGGACCGGCGCCGGCGGCGGGGAACACCCCACCCTGCGGCCCCGCTAGCTCCCTCCGCCTAACAAAGCGCCTCTCCCGGCTCCCTCCCTCCCCCCGTCCCTCCTTCCCCGCCTCCCTCACCTCCCCGCCCGCAGGTCGACGCCACCGCTCCCTCCAGCTCCCCGCAAACCCCGCGCTGGATTCCCGCCCCGCCGCAGCGCGGGCGGCGCGGCACTGGCCTGTCCCGCGGGACACGCCGCCTCTCCCGCACGGGGAGACACATCCCGGAGGACCCCGAGCCTGCAGGTGCGGTGGCGCTGCGGGGAGGCGGGTGCGGGGTGTGCATGTCCGTGTGTCCGCGTGTGTGTTGTGGGGAGCGGCGTGCGAACACCCAGCGGCCGCCGGGAAGCGGGCGGGCAGCCCCGCCTGCACCGGGCGCGGGCGGAGCTCCCGGGACGCACGTCCCTAGCGCGACGTCCCCCATCCCGCATCCCCGTCTCCATCGCGCGCCCTCATCCCGCTCCGCTCCCGCTCCGGGGGCGCGGGATGGGTTCCCCGCCCCGGTGCGGCGGCCCCGGACCCAGCTCGGGCTTTACCTCCGACAGCGCCCGGCGCTGCGACGCTGGGCCTGCGCGGCAGCGCCCCCAGCGGCGGCCGCGGGCAGCGCGCCGGGGGAGCCGAGGCCGCTCCTCCGCCGCGCCCCGTCCCCGCCCGCCGGCGCGGAGATCCCGGTCCCCGGCGCCGCGCCGAGCCCTGACCCGGCACCGTGGGGCTCCCGCGCCCGGCGTGACGCGGCTCCTGCCCGCAGAGAGCCGCGGGAGCGGGGAGGAGTCACCCCCCGGCCGAGCGGCCGGCGGGCAGGAGCCGGTGCGGCGGCGGGGAGCGACGGCTGACTCGGCTCCTCCGGGTATCGCCCGCTCCCGGGCCGCCGCCGTGAGCTGGGTTTCCCCGGCTCCGTGCGGGAGCAGGTGTCCGTGTCCTCCCCGGCGGGGCTGGAAGTGCCGGCAAAGGACTCGCTCCCGCCTGGCGCCGCTCTTCGCGTAGGGTTTGGAGCTGCGGGCCGTCCCTCTCTCTTTCTCCTTCCTTCTCTCCTTTCCTCCCTCGCTCCCGCGGCCCGAGTGGGACCGTTCGTCTCTTCCCAAAACCCGCCGTGTTCCCCCTGTGCCAGGAACGTGCTCCGGGCTCTCCGCGCTGGCTGCTACCCTGTGTGTGTGTGTCATCTGCCCCAGCCCGTACGCGCAGTTCTATCCCAGGAAAGAAGGGGGAAGCTCTAAATGGTCCAGATTAGTTCTGTTTCAGGGCTATGTGCGTAATCTTCTGGCGGCTTTTATGTTTCCCGGGGGAAACTTGGAGAACAATTGTTTCTTTCCACACTGTACTTTTGCTCCCAAGTTAAAAATAGGATCATTAGCCTGGAGATTTAAGGCACAAATTCCTTAAATAGGCGGAACAAAAATAAAAATGATTTTGTGAAGCTAAAACAATAGTTTGCAATCTTTCTGCAGTTTTCCCAGAGTTTTTTTTATCACCTAAAGACTGAATATGGACCCTGAAACTGAGATAAAGAAGCAAGTAAACCCTTTCTACTGCAACGTAAGTATTCCTTATTGAAAATTGTAACTAATACAAAATAATTTTGGTGGAACACAGTTGTACTAAACCAAGTGTGAACGTTTTTGGTTTTTTTTTCTCTTGAGCAAAATTGATAAATAGCTCTGGAGTTGAAGTTGTTTTGCTGTCTTTGACTCGGATGTGTGTTAAGAACCAACTTATTAAAACGAATAATTTTAATAATATTGTATTTCTAAATAAGGGCATTCTTTTTAAAGTGGAAGATTAAACTGCAGCTCCTGTTCAGAAAAAAAAAAATCCTAATTTCTCTGGTTGTCAGATTTATTGCTATTATTTTTAAGCATCTCGGGTTTTTCAGAGGAAAATAAAGTAATTTGGACCGCTGTTGTTTATTCACATGATTTTAAACCTAGTCTGCTCCCATTCTAAACTGGCCCAGGCATAAACCAGCTGTATGGAAAGCTTCCAGAGTGAGGCAGGCCCCAAACTGATCAGAGTAACTGTGTTAATCTGGATGCAACACTGAGAACTGGCTCATCTTAGACAGGTGTACTGGCTTGTTACAATTATGCTGGGCTTCTGGCTCAGACTTGTTTAAGAGTGTGTGAGGAAGATCTTGGATCTGTCTTTACTTATCTACACACACAGAGAAAATGTTATGAGGTGGCTGCAGAGTTCTGGAGACATCTGACATTTTTATGTGATGTGGAGATTCTTGTTCATTCCACTGTCTTGCAGGCTCATAAAGAAAAGTTCTGGGAGGCTGCTTTAGTTTTTAGTATAACTTACTTATACTGACAGTTTGATAGTAGATCTGTTTTGATATCAGTGGTATTCTATTTCTTTTTGTTTGTGTAAAATGCTGGAAATGCTTCTCTTTCATCTAGATTTGCAAAATCTGGTGTGCTTCTGCATTAAACTTGCAGACTCACTTCCTTGGATTCAAACACAAGACGGTAAGATCAGTTTTTGAATGAACCTTTTTCAGATTTTACAGATTTATTTAGCAATAGAATATGGATTTGAAATCTAGTTTTTAATGTAGTTGTAAAACATACAGTTTTTACATATTTTACATATTTACATATTTAACTGGTTTTGCTGCTTTACTCTCTTGTTTACTGCAATAAAGTAGAACTTGGTTTTGTACGTTAGTTCTGTCAGAAAATGTTGTTACAACTTTGTGTCTAGTAAAGACAATACATGAGAATACGTGGCTGTTAATAAATGCAGAATGGATTTGCTTGAATAATAGACAATCTCAGAAAAAAGGGCATTTGTCTTTTTCAAATTTCTGTTCACCTGAGATAGTCTATGGTGCTGGTGTTTATCTAACTTATTTTATAAATAATAAAAGCTTTTCATTGTTGTTCTTTGAATCTTAAGTATCTTTCTTCCTTGTTGGTTGATGACTTGGTAACTTAGGTTGAAGAAGCACTGAAAGCTCATGGCGTTGGTAAGTGCGAGCTTTTTTACTTCCTGCTGTGTTCTATATAGGCATCTTCCTCCCTGCCCCAGTGTAATTGTTTATGAAACAAACAAGAAAAAGACTTTCTCAAGATTGTGCTTTAAGACCTGTCTTGTGTTCTTCAATGACATAACTGTCTAATGTTACATAAATCAATCAATAATATGAGCAAGAGGTATGCAAAGTTGATTAATAAGCACTAGCTAAAATACTAAAAATCATCTACATTACGGTTTTGAGAAACCTTAAAGAATTCAAGACCTTAGACACCTTCAAGATTTAAAATATATTTCTAAAAACTATGCTTCTTAAAGCACATGGAAATGTATATACTTTATTTTTTAAAGAGATTATCAAAAATATCTTAGATTATTTTAAATATCTTAATTAGTTGAAGCATAGTCCTTTTAATAGGTTTATTATATCATTAAACCTTCCATGGGTCATTATGAACTGGTCTAGTTCTAGAAGGAATGAAGGTCTAACTATGTTCATGATTGTTTTCCTGCTTCGGTTTCATGATGGACCAAAATGTATTTATAGGTTTCTACAGTGCACTGGTCCTAGAATTTGGCTTGAAAGTCTCTGCCAAGTTATACGTAGTCGTTGCACCTACCCAATCTGGGAATATTTTTATGGACTGTAAAGGAAATTTAAGTGATTAAATATTTGGCAGCTGGATGCTGCTGAAATTAATGCCCTGAAATTACTAGATGCCCTGAAATGTTTAGAGACACTGAACTTAATTGGTCTTCCTCTTTGCCTGCTTTGTTGAATTACCTAACACTAAATAACTTTGTTATTGTTTGGTGTGAATGCTTTTTGTCCATCTTTAGCCAAAAAAAATCTCATAGCACATTCAAAACTAAACATAGCTTAGTTTTCTCATATCAAAAAGCTCAAATAGTTTTCTTTAAAAAAAGTCTGTTATCATACCAAGTTGGTTTTTGTACTAACAAGTTTATTTCCATTTCTGAGGTGGGTTTTTTTGGTTGTTGCTTGTTTGTTTGTTTTGTTTTGGTGGGTTTTTTTTGTTTTTTTTTTTTAGTTAAAACACCCAGTGGCTCTGGGAAGCAAGTGAAAACACCTGTAAAACTTCCTGATTATGGTAAGAACATTTAATGCCTGTCCCCCCCACCACCTCCCCCAGAAAAAGGAAGAAATAAAAAATACTGAGGTACAATATTACAAGTGGTGTCTAGACCTTAGCAGGTCACTGGGAATTAATTTCTGTTCATCGTATTTTCCATTTTAAGTAATATTTTGTAATAGTACTTAAGACAATATTTGCAAACTAAATGCTTTAAAAAGAGTGAAAATAGGATTGGGGGGGATAATGTTTTATAATAATTAACTTAATTTGTGATGTGGGACCATGTCTGAGCAGGGATTCACTTGAATGTGAATTTCTTGCAGGGCAAACTGAACCAGAGAGGTTTCATGGACAGACATTGGAAGAACAGCTTAATACATGTAAAGATTCAGAACCTGCACTTGGTGAGGGCTTTTAATACTGTAGTTGTTTGCTTGTGAGATATTTACCTTTAAGGAGTATGGATTAGTTTTTTAAAATGTAAAATTAGGTAATGTGTAATAAAATCTCATAATGGTTGCACTTTTTCTTTAATGTCCCTTTTGGAACTAGCATTGATGATTTGTTTGCTAAGTTTTGTTTGTTTTTTTTCTATTTATCCAGGTCTTAATTATATAATAGAGTACCGATCAAAAGACAATTTTCCTTTCCTCTATGAATGTCAACTGTGCTACTGTAAGACGGGACTGAATAACATGTTCATGCATGTTTGTGGTTCCAAGCATAGACTGGCATACCTGGTAAGTTCTTTTTGTTTGCTTTAATGACATGATTTAAGGGGAGAATTTGGTGGTCATGTTTTGATTTAAAAAAACCCCAAACACAAGATGTTACGCAAGTTTTTCTGAAAATGTTTGTATTTGTATTGCAACTGTGATAAATAGACTTAAAATTCTTCTCACCAATAATATGCATGCCTGTCCATTGCTTGACACTGAGTTTTTAGTTTATTCTGTTTTGGTTAACCAGTAATGCCAATAAGGAAATCTATAGTTAAAATTGACTAGAAGTCAAAAGCCTTTTTGACCAACTTTTGTAATATCTAAAAGAAAGGGATCAATGAAGAAACTGTTCCATCTTTCAGATGCTTTAAAAGGAACATAATTATAAATAAACATGATAGATATTAGACAGAGGCTGTGACTTGGAATCAGTGGAAAAAAACCCAACTTGTATTCTCAGTTTTGAGGCTGGACAATCTGTTGCCTGTTTTATGACAATCTGCAAAGCTCTCAAGGTTCACGTCAGCCCATAAACATTTAAATACACTATTTTTTTCAGCATGTTTAGAGAAATGAGGTTGTCCAGTCTTTGAATGTTTACTTGAGTGTATTTGTTTAGGATCAGCTTAAACCAAAATTGAGAAAGCAATATTCTGAAAGGTATCTTGATACTTTCCAATAGAAATTGCTCAAAGTTGATATTATATCCCACATATCTTAAAGTCATACAAAGCCAAGTTTGTATAC